AATGCACTGAGACACTGCAGGACTAATGGCGGATTTTCCTGTGTCCAGACTACAGAGTTATTAAAGCCAACTCATAAAATTACACCTTTCCAAATAAACAGGAAAAAACAGCCTCTCAGCAAGGCTGACTATGAATACCACCTCTTCCTCTTATTGCTGAACAAACTGAGCACTGAGAGGAAACAAGAGCACTGACAGCAAAATGGTCCTATCACTCAACATAACAAATCATATTCTGAAACAGTAACTCGTCTGCAACATTTGTATTGATTCTCACAGATAATAATATCTCCCCCCAAAACATATTTCAGGTTTTCCTCACTCCATTGATCAGGAGTGTTTTATAAATGTTTCGATCAGCCTGATGAGGCTTTTAGCTACACATGCGTATCCTGCAATTTTGTTGATAACCAAAAACATTCAGGTAAGCATGTGCTAAGGAAAAGGGAATCCATACTTTTGATGGAGGCAGTTTCCTTCTACATTTCCACTAGCTTGCCTAGAACATGTTACACTAGATTTATCAGCCACAGAGCCGGCTGTTTATGTTCTCTGCAAGAAAGTGATTGTATCAAAAAGGAAAGATTTTCCCAATACATATTTTACATATATTTGGCAAATTACTGATATTTTTCAGCTCCCTGTAGATATATGCCACTAAGATCTATACCAGACTGATGGTAAATATATACTTACAGACATAGAAAGTCTGGCATTATGCTAGCATGACATATTGCATATGTATACCAAGATACCAGTGAGCAATAACATTCATAAAAACTGGAATTATAAATATATACAAATGTAAACTTTTGTTTTTAAGATCTAAAATAAGTAGTCAACAGACACTAGGACACTATTAAAGTCATTAACAACCTATGACACCTGAACGGACTACCAAGTTGTTCAATCTGACATCGTAAAGTTAAAATCTTCTACATAAGCACCAACAAATGAGTACTAGTGGTCATAATTAAAGTATATCCCCATTTAATTTCATTACGCCAAAGAATTTGCATCCTGACTTTCATGGAACAAGTCTAAGATATAATCCAAGTACCGTGCTTATAATACAATGCCAGTTCTCATATGGAATTTCCATCAAGGTATAATACCATGACAGCCTGAGCCCTCACAGTGCCTTTTCCTTCTCTTAGGAAGATGGACAGTCCCCAACAATTCATCTTACATAGACTTTCTACAACTCAGAAATATTGCCACGAACAAATCCATCCTGAAGCAACCTGGGTATTAAGATATAGAAGGACCTAACTTTCATTATTAATTACTTCAAGAACACCATTTTCCTTTTGGAAATGAGCATGGTTATCATGAATCAAATGAACTCATCTGGCAAGCTCAAATATCACAAGCAACACAGGAAAATGGTGTTTCCACCTGCTTATCTCAGTTAGTAAAAATTGTCATAGAGAACTCATTTTATGCACACAGTGGCTATACAGAAACAAATCTATTAAATGTTCCAGCACTATCAATGCATCTCCTTGTTTTCTCCCAGTAATGACATTTGAAGGGATTCATGTTCTATGAAAAAGCACTTTAAGCAGTTCAATCACTCATTCCCATGCAGGCATCTTAAAACTTGGCTTTGTTACATGTTGCAATGTCACTGGCACTGGCCAGTCTTTTAGCCCAGGCAACGCTCAAACTTGCCTGGTCACTGTCTTAGGAAACACAGTTCTCCCAAAACATCAGTTTTCAGGCAAAGGCATGAGCTGGTAGATCCGGTCACCTCGGGAGACCTGGTCCCTTGGAAAGGTGTGTGGACGCCCATACCACCTCCCTTCCTCAGGTTCCCTTCCTCAGAGATCAGTGTCCAAGAGCACTCCACATCAAGCCAAGTGGGGACCTGTATGTGGATATCCCTTTTCCCAGATCACTCTATTTACTCTCTTGCAGTAAATATATATATATTTGTCTTGCATCTTTTGTCTGAGGAAATTGCTTGTCAAAATTAGAAGTCCTAGCAAAACAATTTGTCAGGCACCAGTGAAACAAGAAACTTGGCGAAGTTTTGCAGAAAGTCTTCTAACAAGTTCTACTTAGCATATAGTCTGCGGCATGTGTCTTTCAAAGCAAACAGGAGCATCTAAAAGCAAAGAAGAGGCTCAAACTCATTAATAGTGTTTTGTTAACAAAGTAATAGAGGAAATACAGACTGTCATTATCCCATTAAAGCAGCAGTAAAAGTAGCACAAATAACGTGCAGTTCCCTCCTCCTATGCTCTTATGATAATTCTAGGAGAGTCTATTATTTGCACAACTAAAAAGGTTTAGCTCTGTTCACTTTAAAGCAAGTGAAAATCTTCAACAACACACACAAGGTCTGTGAGCGTACCTATTTGTGACATTTTTCTACTGAATTATGTTAATTGGTTTTTTCCTATTTTGGAATTAACTCAAAGCCTGTAAATGGAATCTGTATTAAATTTGGGGGTTTACAAGGCATTCTCCTTCATCTGAAATAAATCCAGCTCTTTCATACTGCACTATTCCTTTAAAAATTTACCAGCAAGAGAGATGTCGACACAATATCCTAATTTTAAACATTATTTTTTCCTCCATTAAATCCTCTCGTGTTTTGAACACAGCACTATGGTATAATAGAATGTGAATAAGTAATGAAAGATGAAGAAGTGGATTTAAATAAAATATCCCCTATTACCATTCCTAATTCTTATCTATTGTTAAGGTGACAGCCATCTGGAATATTATGGCAAGGTGGGTATTCAAGAAGAACCCACACAGAACAAAAATGTAATTCAAAACCAAATAATAATCTTAAATCAGGTTTTAAGAGCAGGCCTTGCTATCAAGAAAAAAGGTAATTGCGCTGATTTATTTTATTCTGTATTTTGCTGGAATCGAGGCTGGCTGGTGATCTGAAGTTGATAAATAAGCTTCTGCAATGACTCTTCTTTTGAGGTTCTTTCACAAGCTCTTGCAGTCCCATCATTATTACGCGTCTTGTGTCTGTTTGCGGCAACATCGCCCTCTCGTGTTGCAAGGATGGCAAAAGATTTTTTTTTCTTCTGAAAGGTTATCATTACTTTAATTGCAGATTAATTACAGCCTTTCACCAAGGTCAAAAGGAACATTCAGAGGCAGTATAAAGGGTAGTAGGTAGAAAAGACATAGTGTTTAAAGTTTGGCGTTTTTTTTAATGTAAAATTTGCAATTTTCAGCTGTAATGAGTACAAAGATTGCCTCTCACAGCATAAAACCTTAGGCAAGGTTATCCATTTGTGTAGCAATATAGTGACCCTTTCATCCACATGTCAAAAAAAAAATTCAGTAAATGAGAGACCTGGCTTTAATTAAATCATTTCTGAAAATACTATGAACTGAAAATAATTTTATCCCAAATGAGACTGGCCAATTATACTATGTTACCTGTAATTACATGATATGTATAAAAACATCAAACTTTTCAATGAACCCAATTCAAAAGTAATGGTAACGGCAGTGCAGAGTGGCTGTTGAGTGCGAATAACAAATCATATAAATTGCATAATTACAACTTCCCACAGCTCCGGAGGGCGTTTGCAGTAAGAAAAGCAATGAATGACCAAGGGCAATGAGCTCCCTAACCCCGAGGAGGAGGCAGCTCCGATGCGGCAGTCCGAGGGCAGAGATGACGGCATGGGCTCCCCTCCAAAGGATGTTCAGCTCTTCACATGGGGCTCAACAGCAGCAGAGGGGCCCACAACCTTCTGCCTTGCTCCCACCCTGCGATTTAGGGGACCCAGGGAGACGACTCAAATCCTTTCTACACAAAGAAGAAAATGAACCTGGATCTTCCACACCGAGCGACTGCTCTAACCACTGGACCACCAAACTCCCACCTTTTCTCAAAGTAAAATAAATAAAAAAGCAATGATTATAATTTTATGTGTTTTCGGGGTTTGGTAGTCTTGGGAATTGGTTAGTTTGAGCAAGGAAGAAGATTTAAGCCTTGCTGAAAGAAGTATTTCATGTATTCCTAAGACAAGATCTTATCCTAATCGACAATATCTCCTTACAATTTATATTTGCTTTTGATGAGAACTGCCTGCCCCAATATTAAGTTCTTCCACTGCAACTTTTTTTTTTTTAATTTTCCAGTTCATTAGACAAAATAATTTATTTCCAGGATCCAGATCACAGCTGACCTCCCAGAGCAACGAAGGAACACCCCCTTCTTCTTATCTTCTTCATTGCAATTGATTTGCTACCAGTTAAATTCAAGCAAGTCTATACCACACCCTGGCCAGGACAGGGAAGTGTTTTGTCAAGGTTCTCTCATAACCACTGCCTTGGGAAGCCAAGATCAAATTGTAGTAGGTGATGGCAAGCCCAAGATAAGCAGCAAAGCAAAAACTGGCATAAAGCTTCTTCTGATACTAAAACTGCCTTGCTCGTGGTACAGGCTCCAGTGAATGCTGCAGGGGCACAACTTAATGTTACTTTCCTTCTGCTACCAAGTTACACCAAGTTACACCTATTTTCCAACCAATTTATGGCCCATACACGTATTCTGATATTATAGCTGTTTGCAGTAAATCAGATTTTCCTGTGACTGCTGAAGCAGTAACTCTGAGCAAAAAGTGCAGCAAGAACATATTTCCATCTAATTAAATCAGTGATGGTGGATTAAGCCCTATTCTAAAATGTGCCTTATCAAAACAACAAAAAGACTGTCACTTCGTAAAGCTGAAGGGGAGTTGCCTAAGACACGAAGAACTAGCAAAGGGCTTGCTGTCACTGGCACGTAGTGTGCTAAAATAACAAAAATAAAGAGTGAAGAAAGCAATCATCCACTGTACAAATGGGGAACTAAATGAGTTTTGCCTGTACTAGTAACC